GACATGCTCTTGCTCTGAAAATAAAGCAAAGCCACTTCCTCGTCCGACATTAAACAGAGGCTCTGCCGTGCAGCGCTTCAAGAGCTGACCTGCGTCTGACCTCAAAGTGCACAAGCTTCAAACTTCAGCGTTGGCTGCGATTTTGAAGCTGAAATCGCGTTCGGTGTGAACGCAGCATTACTCTAAAAAATGTAACCACTTACAGATGAATTACTCTTTTATTGAAAAAGAGAAGCTTGCGCTTATCTGGGCTCTACAGCATTTTCAGATATACCTGGATTCAGGTAGTGTTCCCCGGTGGTCTATACAGATCACAAGCCGCTAACATTTTTGCATTCAGTGCAGTGTCTAAATTGCAGATTGATGCAATGGATGTTGTTTTTGCAGTCCTATAGCCAGGATATCCACCACATTAAAGGCTCAGATAATATCATAGCGGATGCATTATCAGAGCACMATGTTTAGATTTATCATGTATTATATGTTTAGTTTTTTCCCAATGCATTTCTGTGACTAATTCTCCAGGGGTTGATATTGCTGAGCTGTAGATGCAGAAATTGTTTTGTTACTGGGGTAAGATGACCAAGTTGGTTAGTATTAATTGATGTAGTTGACACCTAAGTTGTACAGATAAATTGCAGAATGCAGTGTGTGTTCTTGGAGTTCTAGTGAGAACTCTTTTTATGGGGGTGGGTGATGACCCCTTCCAGTCCACTAGGTGTTGTTTCACTTTTCTTTCAGGGAGTCGGCAGATGTACAGTACACTCAGGCTGGGGGTCAAAGGGTTGGTTCCCAGCCAGTTACGGCTGCTTGGTTTGGCCTCCAGGTTGGACCTGGGGGGAGTGAGCAGCAGTGCTTGTGCTCATGGGCTGTGGCTGACAACTTTTATTTTTGTTAGAATAAATTATTCCTTTTACATCAGATTCGCTCGTCTGTCTCTTATTTTTGTCACATTCTTGAGTTGGGCTGTGACAATACTTAATTTATTAGTTTCCTGAATCTAGAAATCATTTGTGTTTGCGCAGCGATYACACAAACATGTCCATCACATATGCAGTAAGTAATTTGCAAATATTTAACATATGAAAATGAAGGCGTCACGGGAGGTGTCTCACGTGCGCTCAGTTCCCCGTAAATTGGGATGTACAAAAGAAATGTTTTGTCAGTACACAATTGGTTGGACGCTGTGAAGACAGCTTCCTCCCCGATTCACATCATAGAGGAGCAAGAGCTGAGTGACACGCTGCAAACTCCTGAACACTCAGAAATGAGGTGGGTATCCGAGTGGGAGTTTATCCAAGATTTTGTTTTGTGTGTGTGTGCGCAGAATCAAGTATTCTTTTAGAAAAAAAAGAAAAAGCATTGTCCATTTTTTTGTTAGAGCACTGGTTTGTGTGTGCGTATGTGTCTTCTATTACAGAAGTAAATGAGCTTAAATCCTATTCAGTTGGCAAGTGTGCAGAAATTGTTGCTGTTTGTAGATTTTATGCATCTTTATGATATATTTAATGTTAAGTTAATTCTAAAACATTTTTATTTTATGTGAGATTCTATGTTATACAAATAAAGAATGTTTTTTTCTTGATAAATAAATTTAAACACCTTTCAAAAAGAATGTTCTACTGAACCACAGCTATTAGTATAGTGAAAGTGAAATAATATTTTTTGTTTATGTGGCTATTTATTTTTTTAATTATTGTTCCAT